TTAGACACTAATCATGATAGACCTTCATCTTAATGAAGTCGGAGGCGATGTAATTGAAATAGTGGAGACTTTACTCAGAAGAAATTATGAACTGAAAGCAAAAGAGTGATCTGACAACAGTCTTGTTGAGGTGTTTGAAAAAATCTTTCAGCTATTAATCGATATTGAGTGTGTCAATATTATAGTTTTTCCAATTAAGAATACAACTATGCTATACTATTTTGCTTTCGGGTGTGCTATGATGTTTCAAGTCATTTGCGGATAAAATAGGATACTAGAGTACTTTGTAAGATGACGAATTTAGCTCATAGTTAATGAGTAGTCAAAATGTCCAAGGATCGACAGAATCTTTCTATAAAAAATATTGAGAAAAATGACCATGCATAGAGAAAGATACGGATGAAAATTGATTGATTTACAAATTGTGATGCGAATTTACGCCAACTTTTTTGAGTTATTTGTTTGTATGATAAAAGAACAGTGCATTTTTTGAGTTATTGAATCAATAAGCCTTCATAAATGTCAAAGAAAGCGGTAGCAATCATTTTTTTTGCTTTCAAAGATTTGAATTCGATAATAGGGGAAAATACTGTCATCGTCTTTATTTGCGAATGCTATGAGAAAAGCATTGTCTTTGTCATGACAAAGAAATAGTCATGATATAATGCAAATAAATAACCCAACGAAAGTTTTTCTGAAGGAAGAAGAACGAAAACGGATCTCAGTAGTATATTCCCACTCTGAATTCTGCTAGCTCCGATTTGAAGGTCCGGTTTTTTTCAATATATTCATCAACAGATGACCGTGGTACACTCGTCTGCTTAGTTGATAGTTCCCGTTTATGCCACGTCCTCATATGCGTCCGTTTCTACGTACTCTAACTCTACCCTACGCTCCTTTACTCTGCTAAAGACCAATGGAACGATCCAAGGGGAAAAATTTACACTTTAGTGCTCAAAAGTACAAGTGCAGCAAATTACAGTGAAATTCGAATAAAGAACGGTACTTCATTCGTGCTTCGCTATAGTTTGGAGCACCGAAGACAAACCGATACACACAGCAGACGCACCAAGTAGCACGGCTATATAGTTCGTCTGCTGACCTTATTTCAGTCGATATGAGATGATTGTCTGTATTGGCTGATTCATAGTACCAGTAGTTTATATTGGAAAATTCGCCATGCTGATGGTGATGAACGATCGATTGGCCTAAAAAAAAATAATGTTAGATGAAAAAAAAACAAATTCTTTTTACTAGTGATTAGGAACTTTAGAGATTGGATTTTTCGATCGTCAGTCTCCAAGCCTTCATTATGTCGAATGTCATCAAATTTATCGATTGACTTAGGCCGACAATATTAATTTGAGGTTGAAAGTGTTGAGGCCCACTAACTGAAGCATTTACTCGACCAACTCAGTACATCTACAGCCTATGTGGGCGAGTGCATTGCGCCGATGTTTGGAAATCGATAGTTTTCAACATTCCATGGAGATCTTTGGTTGAAAATGAAAATATTCGTGTAACGATTTCTATGAATTGAAGAACTTGTTAGGTTGATCATTATTGGAGAGTTTGCCGTGCCAGTGATTATAAAATCGATCGTGTGTTCCACTGAAAGTACTGTAGAGCTTCATGAAAATGATACGCTCAACTAAATAACCGATTGCAGGCAGTAATCAGAAGAAACTCAGCCAACTTATGATGTTCATGTTTCAAAAGAAACTAATTAATCACACGTGTAGACAATGAAGAATTCTACTGCATAAGGTTTCATCTGAATATAATTAGAAGATATTGGTGTGAAAAGTTGTTCTTTCTGACATCGTCATACTTAAATTGAGCAATTGATAAAACGAATGAACCAAAGAGATTTAATAGAGAGCCCATTATGTTTTATCTTGTCTTCAGAGAGAGTATCATTGAACAACACAATGAACTTTGTGAGGCTTTTCAATTCATCTTTGTTGAAGTTATTTCTCAAGTGATAGCAGCAATCAATCGATTTTAGTATGACCTAATCACTGGACCCCATTGAGATTTCGATGCTCAAACAAAACTGGAATCCAACTACCAAAAACGGATCGCTGAAAACCATAAAGAATTATCGGATTCCGTCAGAGAATTTGATGCATACATAATATCATTCGATTCAGTAACAATTCAAATATTATTTACGCCCGTAAGTCTCTCTAGCAAGCATGTTCCCATGTGAGAAATTTCTAAAAATCAGCAAAGGCCTGTTAAGATTCTATACTATTGAATGCCAGATCTATTCCTGTTGTTGTCTAGTCCTCTATTGAGGCATACAATATGTATTTGATGGAAAACCTTCTGCGATACTCAATAAACAGGTTGTTTTCTCAGCAAAGAATCTGCCTGTATATAAAATCTGCTTGAAACTGGCAAAGATCTTTTAAAACTTCTATATGACAGCCGTGTACATCCTTTGCTATTCTCATGCATTCGTTTACTGGAACTTGAAATACCAAGAAACAAATGATCAAACTTCTGGATTCTCTATGAAGAAGACTGGTTTCTTGAAAAGGATCAATTGTGGTGAAAAATTTGAGATTCTCAAAAAATGTTGAACATCTCGTATTACAGTTTTCTAATTTAATTAGGGCTTGTGTCAAAATACTTGATACAAGGCGTGAGCCGATCCAATCAAAGGTTCACTGGATTTTGTATTGATTGATATATATTTTATCGTCCAGCAAATGGCTGAATGAGGACAACACACCTTGGACTAAGCTACACTAAATGACTATCTAGGGCATTTGCACGCTTTGAGATTTCTCAGCGTAGCCGATCGCCTATCTAGAAACAGTAACCGCTACAATGCAATAGCCTATATGGCTCCGCATCGATTGATATATAAATATATATTATATGTTGATAAAAGAATAAAGATGAGTAAAAAGAGATGCATAAAGCTTTACTATTGGATTTGGTGGGTTGTTCGTAATATGCGCGATTTTTTATCGCAAACAATCGGTTGCCGTATAAAGAAAAACTTGGTCAATCAATAGCTTATAGCTTTCTTCATCGAATGTTGTGTGTCATGTTCTAATATCAGAGTACATTAGAGCAGCAAAGAATTCGCATAACTTTTGTACAAGAATCCTCAAGAATCTTTTCTAGTTTTCAAAAATTTTCATATCAGTAGATCGTTCCCTGAAAGAAAGCCTAGAAAGCTTTTGAATTCAATTATTTGCGTTTGATGCTTCGACAAAAAGCTGGGCAGCAAGACAAATGAGCTTCTAACATTGGAGTATAGAACTTTATAGCTTTGTTTCAAGTTTCTAGAGATTTGGAAAGATGAATCTCTGGTCAGACTCGATAACTAGAACTACTAGTAGATGTCTCAGATTTTTCTGCTCAATCAGTGGCAATGTAGCACATGTGATGTACGTAGTAAAATGAATTTCTTCCGCTTTTTCCTAGATGAGTTTTCTTTTCCAGCTAGAATGATAATCAGATTAGGAACAACGATTTCAGTGTTTCGTCTAGATATTTTGCTCGTTTTCTTCAATAAGCGAGAAAAAAAAACGTATAATTTATCGATCTTAAGATAAAAATTAGATTTTGAGAAGTAAGATATGAAGGATATTTTGATTGGATGTCGATTTATTGCTTTCTACTGATTTTCATGGTAGCGTCATCTCGACGTAGTAGCTTTGTTACATGCCTGCGTGAAACTTAGCACCCAAAGCAAACAATAGAAAAAAAGCCGCTTTCGGTCTCTTATCCAATATACTAGTCGATTCGATAAATTGACTTGAAGTAAAAATTCTATGAACTTTTACTAAGCTACAAAGTGCTTTTCTAAAGATGCGTATAAAAAAATATTTCAAAAGCTTTCTGAACTTTTCATCTCCTCAAATAATCACGTGTGTTGTTCGTGATTATGAAATGGTAAAAAATTGGTCTCGACAGTCCTTTGAATTCTTACTTCAAACGAACATGAAAAACAAATATGGAAAGAAAAAAACCCATCGCTGACTCATACGCTTCTTACTTTTGTTACTTCTTTCCAACAAAAATTGGGAGGTAAATTTTTTAACCCACAGCATGTTGCACGAATATTTGCAATGCAGTTTGTATTAATCATAATTGGCGCGTTTCATGGACAAGTTCGCAGTGTATGAAAAAGTGAATGTAATAATCGTCTCATGGTGCTCTTATCTTTCTCGCATAACCACTTGCTTTTTATTGTTCTTCAGTTCTTTCCAAAGCTTTGAAATATGATGAGAGTAAAACCACTCTTTTTGTCAGTTCGTAAGCAGTTCAAAACGTTTGTTTTTGCTTAATGGCGAATGCTTTCCTGGCAGATGTTCCTATAACAGTTGTTCCCCAAGCGCTTGCTCTCCAGGGACACTTGTTTCCAGAAGAGTTGCTCTCGCAATACTTGCTGCATAGTAGCGGTTGCTCTCCAACGGCATTGTGACTCTGAACAGTTGCTAACGCGACACTTACTCCCAGACAGTTGTACTGCAACCGTGAGCGACGCATTAAAAATTCTCAAATAACTTTTGAATAATTATAGATTATTATAAGCTAAGAGAAAGGTAAAATAGTTATAAATCGGTGTAAGATTGGGCGTGGTGGATGGGTGTGGGTGTGGATTTTCTCTAAATTCATACCCACACCTACACTAAGGCCCATATCCCACCCATATCCTGTATTCCATCCACACTTATACTCATTTATATTTGTTCTTGTAATCAGTAATGGTTCTGTTAAATATCGTTGGGAAGCAAGTGTTTCTAAAGAGCTACTATTCATGGAAGTAAATGTCGCAAGAGTAACTGTTCAAGGAGTAAGTGTCCGAAGAGCAACTGTCGCGGAAACATCTATCAGGCGAGTAGCATGCGTATTACCTCAGTTTTTGTTGGCCAGCTCTTGCACAAACATGAAATCTATTCTGCCTATGCGAATACGTTTACGGATGTATTTCTTCCTGTAGATTAATAATAATTTCAGAGAAAGCAGTCACTATTATGGCCTGTTCGGAAGTTACTGGTGGTGAGTATTTCGTCTCCGCAATAGTATTTATGATGATATTTCTATTTAGTTTACCGAATTCTACCATTCTACTATGTCCATGTACTCGATCAAAATACAAACGTTACTCATCTTGAAGTTGGCCCACAGACATTTGTTAAACAAGATCATGAAAAAGTTCTAATTGGACCAGAACGCATGTTAATTATTCCGTATGTAGTCTTTATAATTCTATTGATTGTTTCATTTTGATTTTTACAGCCCTCGTCACTATTGTGTTATTGAAAACCCAGTTGTACGCGGCAATGACAGTGAAATTGTTATTGATGCGAATGGTCAAGTCAAATTGTTTCATTCGGATATTGAAATTCGATTTTCTCAAGATCCATTTCCGCTCTATCCTGGTGAAGTACTCAGAAAAGCTGTCAGCCCACTTCAAGTAGTCGAGCCCAATAGAGCTCTTCGTCTACGTGCTGTACTTGATTTTGTTGATGACAATGGCCAAGAAGTTCACGCTGGTGAAGAATTTCTCTTTGAGGGACCAGGTTCGATACGATACTGTTAGTTCAGAAATTGAAAATGATGCACTACTGCAACGCTGACATATAAAACAGACTCAATAAGATTTCGTTATTGATTTTCATATTCATTTTTTTAGGAACCTATTTCCCACGCAAAGAAGTTCATGTTGATAGGGAAATTCAAGCTAATATTTTGAAACCGAATGAAGCGATTCGTCTGCGTGCTAAAAAGAAAATGATTGACAGAAACGGTATTGAGCGTGAAGCAGGTGAAGAATGGCTCATTCAAATGGTTGGTTCTTATTTACCATCGGCTTACGAAGAAGTTGTTTCGATTGTCAAGGCCTACGTGTTAACCGACAAAGTATGAGCCAACGAAATAAATACTATTTGTTGTTATTCATTATAACTGCATGTTTAGAAAGCTCTTCACATTCGTGCTTTACGAACATTTGTTGATATATTCAAACGTAAACGTCTTCATGGTGAAGAATGGTTGGTATATGCTAACGATGCTGAAACATATATACCCGATGTTTATGAAGAGGTTTTTTCTTCTTCTTTGTCTACTATCACTTAAAACACTTAAAAAATAATTAATAGGTGGTTGATATTGTTCCGGTTACCGTACTTCATTCTCTCCAATATTGTATCATTATTGATCCAGTCGGCTCAAACGGTAAACCTCAGCTAGGAAAGAAAAAACTTGTTAAAGTATGGCTGTTACTATTATTAATGTTATTCCACTAATGAGGGCGTTTTCGACTAGGGTGAAGCGATCTTTTTTCTGCAGCCAGGTGAGAAGTTTGCCAACGGTATTCAGGATGTGTATGTACTTGAAGAAGACGAAGGTCTTATTCTTCGATGTATCGAAGCATTTAGCGAAGAGAAAGTTAGTAGAATTTTTTTATTTTCTTTGAAAATTATTTCTTAACTTTTGAGAATGTAATACACAATCCAGGTGATCTTTGGATGATTCGAGGTCCTAGAGATTATATTCCGGCTATCGAAGTTGAGGTTGTAAATCGACGAAAATCTATTCCATTGGATGTAAACGAAGGTATATATGTACGTAATGTCAAGATGGGCAAAATTCGTTCAATTATCGGTAGTACCTATCTACTTACCGAAAATGAAGAACTCTGGGAAAAAGAATTACCAACTGAAGTCGAACAATTACTTGCACTTGATGTTCGCCACTTTAAAAACCAATCAGCAGTAATCGCTGTGCTTCCACCTCGAGACAAATCAAAAGTAATCACTTATCGTGTACCACATAATGCATGTGTACAAATTTATGATTATAAATCTAAAAACGCTCGTATCATTTTCGGGCCTGAACTTGTTATGCTTGGTCCTGATGAGCAATTTACAATTCTTAACCTATCCGGTGATAAGCCGAAGGTTCCAAACAGAATCCGTGCTATGTGCCTTTTGCTTGGACCGGAGTTTTCAACTGATGTCGTAACCATTGAATCGAGTGACCATGCTCGACTCTCACTCCAGTTGTCCTATAGTTGGTATTTCGAAGTGAGAAATCGTATTTTTTAATCAGCAACAGAAAGAGTGTGCCTTCTATTTCTAGGTTGCCGATAAGAATGATAGCAAAGATGTAGCTAAACTCTTTTCAGTACCTGATTTTGTTGGAGACTTTTGCAAGACTGTCGCAGCAAAAATTCGTGGTGCTGTTGCTGGTATTTCATTTGACGATTTTCATAAAAATTCGGCCAAAATTATCCGTACGTCCGTTTTTGGTATTGATGAAAACAAGCGAATTAATAATCGACTTGTCTTCACACAAAATAATCTTGTTCTCACTTCAATCGATATTCAAAGCGTTAAACCGGTCGATCAAAGAACACAAGATGCTCTTCAGAAGAGCGTTCAACTAGCTATTGAAGTAATTAAATTCTCTTTCGATAAATATTTATCTGACTTTGTCAAAATTCTACTTTAGATAACGACTAACTCACAAGAAGCTCAAGCCAAGTAAAAGAAATGATGAGATAGAAAAAAAACGACTATTTTCATGTTTTTTTTTAATAGGCATATGGCTTCACGAATTCAACAAGAAGCCAAAGGTTATCTGGAACGACAAAGGATCACCGATGAAGCTGAAGGTAGACGATTATTATTGTTTTGCACTCTTGTGTATATGTATTAGAGATTAGCATAGTGTTTCGACTTTGTTTACATGTTAACTTGAAAAGATAAGACAAAATTTCATTTTTATTCTGTTCATCTAAAAGTATCAATATGGTCGCTTTCAGAACCTATCTATAAAGCTTACATAATTCTTCCGCACTCTAATAAAATAATATCAATCATTCGACGTAAATTGTATCTGAGATTGTCACACTTTGTAGACCATCAATTTCCAATATCATGACTCCACGTCTACCATTTGATTTCGAGCTTTACCCATTAACCTATATTATTCTATAGACTATATATGTAATCTTAATTTTTCTAGCCGAAAAGGAACGTCAGGAGCTGTTGGTGCTTCAAGCACGTTCGGCAGCTGTAGAATTGGTTGGCCAATCGCATGCTGAAGCTAAGTCGCGTGCAGAAGCAGCGATAATCGAGGGAGACGCAGCTGTCGAACAAGGTATGTTCGAAATTGGTTTTTGTAAATCTTTAGTCGAAGACCGAGATCTTTTCTAATAGCTACTCTTCGAGCTGAAGCAGGGAAGATTAAATCTGATACTGAACTCGATCGCTTGATGCAAACACGTGAACTCGAATTGGCACATGATAAATTAACATCTGAACTTGAAATTGAAAAAACGAAACGAATTACTAATATTGAAATCGAAGAATTCAAGGAGCATGTGGCTGCTATAGGATCTCAAACAATTCAAGCTATTGCCACTAGTGGACCTGACAATCAAGTAGATATATTCCTCATATTTATGTTGCTCAATCGTTTGTCTAATAATCTCTTTAGGTTAAACTTCTTCAAGCTCTCGGCATTAAGTCAACATTAATTACTGATGGTCACAGTCCGATCAATCTTTTCAATACAGCAGTTGATCTCATTGGTGGATCATCGAATTCTCATCAGGGGACATTTCCCATGAAGACCAATTAAAAGTGGTAATTGGTCGAAAAAGACTGAGGTGTTCAAATATACAACACTTTAGAAATACATGGTCATATGACTTTTTTTCTCCAAAAAGACTAAAGTACTTGTTTCATGATACTTTAGTTTTTTTCGTCATCACTATTTCCTTTTGAGATAAACACAATAAATTAATTACCTATGATGATATATTTCCAAAGATGCCAATAATAATTCGAGTCAGACGAATCTTATGAAAACTCCAATATGAAAATCACGTTTTCCCTTAGATTTCTATTTAGATCATATTTACATCCATCACATTGTCAACAAGGCTTATCCATCAGACAATATAAACACTTAACCATAGCAACTATTTATAATCTATTTAGAAGTGCTACTCTTGCAAGACTTTTATCGTCTCTTACTCATGATTTCTTCAATTTAGAATACCCTTCTATCAGAAATAGAAAATCGAACTCGAATTTCTAAATTAGGCAGGCGAAGAAATTGAGGTTCTCGAGTTGCAGTATTTCTTGTTTGTTTCGAGTATCAACCAGGGGTTCATGATATATTCCAATAATTTTTCCTTCTTTTATTTGAACTTACCTAGTTGTTCTTTTCAACTGTTGAACACTTTATCGATCTATCTAAGTTAATCAGATGACTTTCTTGATGTTGTTTTAGAAAAATCATAGCAAGTCTCGTGGGTTGAAGAGGAAGAAAAATCTCATTTGATGCGAGAAGATTACCAAGAAAAGAAGTAATTCGAATCGATTCAGAACTCGATATCATATTCGGCTCGATTTAATTATAGCGTTAATTCGTGTTTCTTCGACATATCTTTGATGTCGAAGTGTTCTATTGTCAGCGTCGTAAGATCATATTGATAGTCCCAATAAACATATCCTGAAACACTTAGTTAACCTCGCAATTAACAAACTCTCTTCCATTATTGCCCCTTTACATTGCTTGGGAGTATTAAATGTCCATTATATTCATCATATTTGAGCCCAATCCTACAGCCAACAATCAGTTGAAAGTTGACGCTTTTTATTGAATAAAAATAGATGAACTGATTCAAAAAATAACCGTTCACTGCGTTCTCTCAAGTTTTAATACCAAAATTCTTATAAATAATCGATATCAAATATTATTTAGCAAATTTTGCAATCCAAGAGTTTCTTTTTCAGTTTTCTCCGAATTCAATCTCGGGTCGCATTGCATAGAACTTTACACCTCTTTTCTGAAAGCTCATTGTTTCGTTTATTTTTTCTGTCAAAGAGATCACATATTTTGAAAAATACTCTAACAGAAGAATATATCCATATTAGATCAAGAAACTTCTTTATTTGGGCTTATATTAAATGTTCTACCTATTATAAAACTCTGAAGTTGGCAATCTCTGCATTTACTTCTTGAGAACTTCATCTATGAGACAGTAAGTTGCGTTTTAAAATATTTAAGATTGTGAAAGTAATTACACATCTTCTCATTAAAGGTTTTCTGAAACCTAGTAACTAGAGAACATTAAAATCAATTTTTCCAAGATCAGACTTTTGATTTTACTGCACTTTTAAAAGTTTTGTTGAGATATCAGATCAATGTTTTATACCTTCGCTACATTGAAAGTAAACAAAAACAAACAGAACAAATTAGCCACAGAAATTATCTTTCCATGAAAGAAAGATGCAAACTTCATCTCATTTTGAATCATCAACAGATACTTTTAATTTTCTTCTCACATTACATAGAACTCCTCTTCGGGTAAGTTATACATGATTGAACACTTATGACACATCCAGGAATTTATGGTAAAAATTGTGCAGATGTGTACTGCGAGAGGTTTACAGTACTACTCTAACAAATATAGATATGTCTCGTTGATATATCACAATAAAGACTATATCTCTTCGTTAAAAGTATCTTTCAATAATCTGGCGTAAAAATTTTATTCACATAGATGAACTTTTCTGGAAAATTCGATTTTAGTTTAATAAATCGTTGAATGAACAATAATGGCAGTCTCCATCTCCATAAAGAGTAGTTCATTTAAAATATAGTTCATGATTTTCATTCTTTCTTAATATTCAAACAATCTATGAAAGAATAAGACAATAATCAAACTACACGGGTATCACAACCGGGAAACCTAATATGACATATCGGAAGCAATTTTTTCTATGAAAACAATAAAACAATGTGTTGTTTGCTAATGCATGTTCTTGAATATGGGTAATTATCAGCAATTTTTTGCAATTAGTTAATTACATGACGGTCTGTTAGACCACCGAGTAGACCTTGACCGAAGTCCATGAGATTGATTGGACTTTTGCCATCAGTAACAAGCATCGATTGTATTCCGAGTGCTTGCAAAAGTTTAACTTGAGTCTCAGGACCCGATGTAGCAATACTTTGAATAGTTGAAGTACCGATTGATTCGACTTGCAATTTAAATTTTTCAGTCTCGATTCGAGACAATTCGGCTTTTTTCTTAATTTCTAGTTCGTTTTGTTCGCGTAAAAACCTAATTTCACCTTCGCGTATCAATCTCAAATGGGCCAATTCGGCTTCATCGTCGATTTTGGTCGCCTCAGCTTTGCGACGTGCTGCAATGGATCGAGAAAAAGAATAAGTTTTCATTATATAAATGTAGCAAAGTAAATACCTTGATGAACGGCTGTTTCGCCTTCAATACGCTTCGATTCAGCACGACTCAAAGCTTCTGCTTTGGTTTGACCAGTTAATTCGATCGCCGCTGATAGGGCTTGTGATTCGAGTAGTATTTGTCGGATCTTTTCGGCTTCAGCTTCATTTTTGATACGCTGTCGTTCTAAGGAACCTCTAGCTTCTTGTTCACGACGTGAAGCTTCATGTTTAGCAGCGGCTTCTTGCGAATTCGTCGTTATCTAAAGTAGAAATTGTTGTTAACATTGCAGAAAAGGCAAACAATTTAAGTTCATACTTCAATGGCCAGTTGCACACTCTTGTGTAGTGCATCACGCGTACGTATATCGACAGGCTCAACATTTTGAATGTCGATCGATGTAATGACAAGGTTATTTTGTGGAAAGATAATTTGATCGCGTACACACTGATTCGCATCAAGACCAAACACAGACTCACGAATGATGTGAGCGGAATTTTTATGAAAATTATCAAACTGAGTGCTAGCTACAGCACCACGAATACGTGAAGCTATGGCTTTGCATATATCTCCGACAAAATCAGGTACTGAAAAGAGTTTAGCCGCTTCTTTTGTATCATTTATGTCTTTCACCTCAAAGTGCCAGTCTGCCAAATAAAGAATAATCAATGATGTACATTTTTAAATGTTTTTTCTGTGTTTTTAACTTACTGTAAGCAAGTTGAAGGGAGAGACGAGCATGATCAGCCGTCTCAATGTCAATGCTATCAGTGAAGAAATTCGGACCGAGTAGTAAACAAAGCGAGTTAACTTGATTAGGTTTTTTGGGTATACCACCACTTAAAGAAATCAGAGTAAAATGTTCATCAGGCTCAAGCATGACAAGTTCCGGACCGAAAACAATACGAGCTTTCTTCAATTTGTAATCATAGATTTGGACAGCCGCATTATATGGAACACGATATGTAATCAATTTCCATTTAGCGCGTTTGATAGTAAGTGATGTCGAACTGTTCGATTGACTATTTAAGGCAATAGTTGTCAATCCACTGTTGACCGAGACCGTTCCACGCATGGCAGAATAGCGTTCAGTCAATGGATCACGGGTTAGTAAGTATTCGATTTGTTCGGGTAATTCTTTGTTCCAAAGTTCTTCATCATGTGTTAACATGTAAGTTTCACCAACTACTGTTCGAACACGGCCACTTTTAATATTGCGAACATAGACGCCTTCATTTTCATCTAATGGAATTGCTTGTCGTCGAGTGACAACTTCGACTTGAGTAGGTGGAATATATTCACTAAGAGTTCAAAAACAATAGCTATATATTCAAAATGTTCTGTAATGAGAGAAAAAGTAACCTACGTTGGCCCTCGAATCATCCATCGTTCACCCGGAATACGTACTTTCTTTGTTTGTGCATCCTCAAATGTTTCATTACATTTGACAATAACACCTTCGTCTTCACCTAAAATGAAAACGTTTTGAATGCCTTTTAAAAGTTTTTCGCCTGGTTGGAGAAAGAATGATATTTCGCCAACGACCAATTTCTAAATAAAATAACTATACGATATTTTTTTATATTTATCTTTTGACAAAATACCGACCTTTCGTCCGAGTTGTGGTTTGCCATCGGTAACTGGATTGAGAATGACACAGTACTGTCGTGAGTTGAGTGTGATTGCATCGACAACAGCAACAAGTTCTTCGTATATACTGAGAATGTGGGTTTCCGTATCAACATGCGTCACAAGCCATTCTTCTCCATTCAAACGTTGTTCACCAAAATCGTCAATGAAAGTTTTAAGGGCTCGAAGATGAAGAGCTTTTTTCTCAGTTAAAGCATAGGCATTTTGAACTGATACAACCGTTTCCTATAAGATTGACATGAACAGGTAACGACGAAAACAAATACTAGAGAAATTACATAGGCTAATGGCAAATAGGCACCAGTCTTCTTGAGTAGCCACTCTTCTCCAGTGACACGATGTTGACCTGATCGATCAGTAAGGTCCTTTTTAGCACAAAGCCGAATGGCTTGATTAGGACCAATAATAGTTGCTTGAATTTGTTGTTCGACATTGACTTCTTTACGAGGAATGTAGGTAGCCGGGCCTTCGAACATCCATTCATCACCGGCTCGTCGTTGTTCCTTATGCAAATCCTCAAAATCGAGTACAGCTTTTAATCGCAGTGCTGAATTAGCTGGGACAACTGTAAGTGCCGTGACAGACTATAAATAATGGTTAATGCGAGCAAATAACGTTTTAAAAATATTATACCTGGCGAAGAATTTCTCCTGGATAGAGAGGAAACGGAGTTTGATCAGGCTGTGTCAGACGAATATCAATATCAGCATGAACCAATTTCGGTTGACCATTTTGATCGAATTCTACTTCACCTTCCTCGTTGCGTACAACTGGCGATTCGACAATACAATAATGTAGCGGGCTATAGAAATAAAAAATAATATTTTACTTTTTCGTCTTACCGCATAGGAAACTCACGGAATGGTGATCATTTTTTCTGGGCCCACCGTGACCGTTTCATTGTCCTGCTTAATAAAAGTCTTCGGACCGGTTTCGAGCCGCGTGATATTGGTGTTCTGGTCCAGTACATGTATATAATAATAAGGTGGAATCCGATAGACGGGTCCTGCAGCATTTTTTCCATCGGTAGCACTTGGTGAAATCGCACTCATATCAAGTATTTTCCTATATATGAACGATACTGAACAACTATGTATGCGTGTTAACAAATGTCTTCTTCTAAAAATCAAAGAATGAAAGTAGTAAGAAGTGAAGACGTAATTTGTGCATGATGGCAAGTTTCTCCCACTGTAGAGGGAAGAGAAAAATCCACTCGATATTTTTTTTCGCTTCTTGTTATTGCACAACGCCAACCTTTTTTCATCTCACAAAATGTTGACATGAAACGCAAGTTACTTTGGATGATTCATTGGTAAAAACCCGAAGTTAAGAGCAAAAATTTCCAACAATAATAAAATCATGATAAACTATGCGAGCATGTGGATGTGGGTTTAGGTGTGCAATGAGTTTGGGTGTGGGTGTGGGTGTTGGTGTGCAATGAGTTTGGGTCTGGGTATTGGTATAGGTGTGCAATGAGTTTGGGTGTGGGTGTGGGTGGTGGTGTGCAGTGAGTTTGGGTCTGGGTATTGGTATAGGTATGGGTATGGGTGCGGGTGCAGGTATAAATGTGGGGCACAGTGGGGAGCTTTCACATAAGCAGGTGGACATACGGCTTTTTTGCTTAGGAATGGCTTTAATTTGACTAGAAATGACAGTATACCGCTCAGAAAACCGTTTTAAGAAAAATAAAAGTTTTTTAAAAAAACATTTTTTCAAAAAATTTTCTTTTTGAAAATTATGTAGTGCTACGTATCATTCCAAGTAGTTTAATGCGCTGATTTCAAATATCACCTTCTTTTTTCTTCAAAGTGTAACATGAATGACTAAAACTGAATTTTTCGACCAAAAACCTATGAGCGGTCGTTTTTCGCTAAATTCTATCAAAAATTGACTTGCACAAAAACGATGTTTTTCATATATAGTCTAATGCAGCTTGACGAGTTGATCTCGAATAACATCTTAGTTTTTCGTAAAAACGTAATATGGAAGTCTAAAACCGGATTTCCTACCGAAAACCGTGGGTTTTTGGGAATCCTGCAGAATAGCCTAGGGACAGTTTCACGAGTTGACGCTACTACCATATTTAGGATACATATCCAGCAATACTTGATAAAAATTTCAGCTCGATCGAACTTTATCCCTTTGTAGGGTTTTCAAAATCCAAAACGTCAGGGTTTCGGGTCTGGATCTGCTTTGAAAACGGGTAAAAAGTTGTTTTAAAAAGTATTGTATGTATATGGTTCAATACAGCTCGGCGAGCTGATTCCGAATATCACCTTAATTTTCCTTCAAAGTCTAGTACAGATGTGTAAAATCGAATTTTCGCCCAGAGACCTCGGATTTTTGGGCACCATCTAAAACAGCCTAGGACAGATTTCATGAGCTGGCGCTATCACCATAGTTAGAATACATATCCAGGAATATCTGGTAAAAATATGCGCTCGATTAGATGTGATCTCTTCGTAGGGTTTTTAACATACGGAACGGTAGGTTTTCGAGTAGGATTTCGACATAGGGATTCCGAGTTTTCTAATCTATTTTAAATTGGATTACGATAATTTTTTTTCACCGTAAAGTTCATAGGTGAGCAAGTTTTTTGTGATATTGTTTGCTTCTAGAATATTGTGTTATAATGCTCTGCGACTTGACTTTCTTGATTTATACTGATTTCTGGGCCCAAGCCTTGACAGGCTTTTTTCTTGGGCTCTATAAAACTTTGAGAGCCGCTATTTTAGGAAATAATAGATCACATATGTATGTATCTATGCAAACAGTTAGATTCTGGAAAAGAATATTTTCGCATATGTCCGCCTGGCTCCCCACTGTGTGTGGGTAGCAAGTCGTGTATCTATCCCGTGACACGATATTCACTAAAAACCGCCAGTTTAGAGATATATTGGTATCGCGAATTTATTAAATGAGCATTCTAATAGCTATATTTTGAATATCGATACCCGAGTTATTAGTATTATAGCATCCCTCACCTTACTTGTTGGGTTCTATAATAATATTACAACTTTATGTAGCGGACAAATGAAAAGCTTTCTACTGTTGAAATGATAAAAAGATGTATTATGTTGCATTTCCAAAATCTAAAATCAATCCTACATGTTCTAAAAAAAAGATCTGTAAACAACTTTCGAATTCTATTAGACTTAATATAGGACATATTTTGAGGATAACCTGAAATTTCTAATACACCTTATTATGCTCGATCAAAAGCCAAAATGCATTTCATCTAAATTACATCTATTGATACTTATATTGGTAGAAAAATTTATTCCATTGTTTTATACTCTTGAAATAATTTGTATTTGTCGATAAAATTCATTGAAATGGATCTAACGACAATGTTTACTATAGTTAACAGAAAAATTCAAGTCAATTGTCTTGTATAAAAAGTAAAAGAAACTAAATACTTCGGTTAACTTTGTAGAACTCACGTTGTGTTTTCGTTCACAGTAGTGAGTGTATATTTGAATCGAAGTTTTGTGTCAACGTTTAGAAGGTTTTACAACATTACAGAACTTTTCTTAAAATTTAAATAGCTGAAATACATTTTTCAATATTCTATATAACGTAGTTTCCGATTTTTGTGCAGATAAACGAATGACATAGTAAATATCAAAGATAATGTTTTAATTTCTCACAATTGTCTTATGATATGATCACACAAAATCATGAACTGATTAAGTTGTAGCTTTTGAGAGTAGTCAATTTCAGTCTTTCTGAATTCATCGAGGTACATAATAGATGGTTAAGATCTGCTGTAAATATAATGAATTTGTACAACAGCCTTATTTGTCCATTAAAGCAATAGTCATGCAAATAATAATAAAGTATGAAAATGAGATCACATAAAAATCAAATAAATACCAAGCAAATAGCAACAAGACAAAATAAAACAATAGTGTGAATCGAACAAAAAAGAAAAAATATCGGTTCAAAATTTAGAAATAAAAAGGGCAGACTATTTGCTGACAATCGGTTATTATTGGAAAAGAACTATGGTTTTTTATGGATTTTAGACTTTGCGTATGTTGTATTAGTATAATGAAACTAAATAAGACATATCAGTTCCACATTCCAATGTAAAAGGACCGCATTAGCAAGCTTTTCCACTTATTGTACTGATCTTAACGGATATGCATATGTTTTGATGATGCAAGAAAATAGTTCATTTCTTGAAGTTGCATTTGTCAGAGGCTGTTTTCTCTCAGTACGTAACTATGTAATGTAGACATGTCTTAAGAAGATGCGTAGGAAAACCCGAATACTTCTTTGAACCCAACAGCCAATAATTGTACTAATATAGATAAGTCACTATCTACAATACATTGACGACTTTCATGCTTCTTGTCTTTCACTAATATTTGATAATAAAAAGCTTCACATTTTATGACAAAGTTTTTTCTTTCTTACATTAGCAACTAGTTACTTTACTTTATTCTTATCAATTATTAATAGTTGTTCTTCTTTGGACATGTTGTCAACAAAACAACAACGTGTGATTCTTGTCACTGGTGCTAATAAAGGCATTGGTTTTCATGTTGTAAAAAAACTTTTAAACGAATCATCATTGAACAATACTGTTATTCTTCTTGGTAGTCGAGATTTAAAGCGTGGTCAAGATGCATTTGAACAACTCGGTTCTCCGTCCAATGTTCATCCTCTTCAATTGGACATGTTATCAATAGAAAGTATCAATCAAATGGTTAATGAAATTAAAGAAAAATATGGTGGACAATTGGATATAGTCATTAATAATGCTGGAATTTTGTTAAATGATCTCACTGTTGATGCAGCGCGAAAAACATTTGCTGTTCATTATTATGGCATTAAATTACTCAATGAACAATTATTTCCAATGATCAGAAAAAATGGACGTATTATTAATGTTTCTAGTCAAGTAGGTGCGATAGCATTGTATGAATCTTCAACTATTCTTCGAGATAAATATATATCACCAACATTAACAATAAAAGAACTTGATCAATTAGTTGAAGATTTTATTGCAGCTATCGAAACAAACACACTTGAAGATTTAGGATATCATAATAAAACATTCACTCCAATTTATGGTATTTCTAAAGCAGCATTAAATGCACTTACTCAAATAGAAGCACGTGAATGGTCAATTAGTAAAAATCTACTGGTCATATCAGTGACTCCAGGATATTGTGCTACTGATATGACGCAAAATGCATCTGATGCTCGTTCTCCTGAAATAGGTGCTAATTCTATTCTGCACGCAGTCAATACTCCTCAAAATGAACTACAAAATGGTGGATTCTATCGTGATGGTAAACAACTATCATTAATCTTCGAACCTATTCCTAGATCTTAAACGGTGAGATGTTTCAAAACAATCAGAAAAAACAATTACTTAATTCTGTATCAAAATTAGTCACTTTCACAAATGTCTTTGATATGGTTTCGATAAAATACAAATAAGAAGAATTTGCTTTGCACTATAATAAAACAGTTTTTCATGTAGTAACATTTTTTCAATGCTAATAAAGTATGTTAACCCACCGATTGATTCGCAGCGAAGGATTTTTGAACGATTATTAGAAAGTCCTTCATGTAGAACTTATAATCTAATGACTATCATGTTTTATTTTTTCATATGAAAGAAAAATTATATTCCAATAAGTCAGTAGCGACAGAAGAGAATGTATGCTAGAAAGATTTCACTTCATAATTCGATATATTTTTGGACTGAAATGCTTGTTGATACAATTTTTTGAACAAAAAACAGCTGTTGCTAAATTCTTTCAATCAAATATAATAACTAAGAATTTCTTTTCTACCAACTAATTAAACCCATCTGATACAAATCTATAATAGAGAATGATAGAGAAACACCAGAGACCTACAATATAAATAGATCATTGTCAGATGTCAATGAGCATTTGAATTACTGGTGTTAATATATCATCAAATTGTATATAAAATAACGAAGAAACGAAGGAAAATATGTTGTATCTCTGCTTGTTTCTTATCTAGATATTCATTGTAATACTTGGTCACAAGTGTTTTTTGTTCTTTTCTGTGTGTATGTTTTCTTTTATCGAATTTGATAACCTAAGGGCCGCTACCGTAAACATTCTTTCTCTGACATATTATATAATCATATAAAATTTTATGCGTTCGAAAGTGTCATTCTTTTCTTTGAGTTACTCTATCGTGTTGAATAAGTCACATTAAAAAAAAATCTTTTTAAAGGACGACATACGGATAATAATGGATACCAAAGAAAATATCTCAACTATTGTTCCTGCACAAATAACAGTCGGTGTGGTTGGTTTAGGTCTTATGGGCTGTAGTATTAGTACTTGTCTTTTAATAGCTGGTCATTCAGTTGTAGCAATCGCATCACTTCCAATCGATCTTGAAACTGCTGAAGCTCGTATTCATGAACATCTTGTTCGATCATTCGAACAAGAAATTTGTTTAGAACAACCAGCTTTTTACTTCAAAAATCTGACCATTACCGAAGATTATACTCGTCTCAAGGATACTTTCTTAGTTATTGAATGTACTCTTGAGGATATCACAATTAAAAGACAAGTATATAAAAATATTGAAAATGTTGTTGCTGACCATACGATTATAACAAGCAATACATCAGCCATTCCAATTAGTCTTCTTCAACAAGAAACTCGTATACCAAGTCGTTTTCTCGGCTTACATTGGGCTGAACCATCTCATACAACACGATTTTTAGAAGTTATTTGTGGTGACACTAGTGATCCAAAAAAAGCTGAATGGTTATATCAACTTGCACATCACTGGGCTAAAGAACCAACACTCGTACGAAAAGATATTCGTGGTTTTATTACGAATCGTCTCATGTATGCTTTATATCGAGAAGCTTTTTATTTAGTCGAAAATGGATATGCTTCTGTTGACGATGTTGATCGAGCATGTCGTAATAATGCTGGTTATTGGATGACATTAGTTGGATGCTTTCGATGGATGGATCTTACTGGCATTCCAGCTTATCATTCTGTTATGAAAGATTTACTTCCTACACTTCATAATGGCACTGAAATACCGAAACTCATCGATGATATTGTTAAAGCCGGTGGAAAAGGTATTTTGAATGCTAATGGTTTTTATAATTATACACCAGAAGAAGCTCGTTTATGGCGTGAAACTTTTGAAGAATTTAGTTATGATATTCGACGATTAGCATTAAAATATCCTGTAGATATTGTCACAAAAAAACTAGAAGCACAACGAGAAAAAAATGAACTAAAGGATTAACATGATCGTATTGTTAGATTATACAAACATATTTTTTCCTTGCTTGTAAATCAGAATAAATCAAATCAATTTACGTCCTTCGGTCATAATATTTTAAGTTTTCTTTCCTATTAAATAAATAATGAAAAAGTTACACACGGTTATATTTATGCACTTATTCATCTCATTTTCATATTTACCCAAAGGCAATTATATATTAAATATGTATCGCTAATCGATTCGTTTACTTATGTATGAAGAATATTGATATGGCAAAGTTAATTTTTCAATAGACCATTCATTTTTTGAATAAACATACAAACAATCCCTATCCCGTATAATTTTTACTTGAATCAATATTAAGGGTATCTACTCCTCCCCTCATTTTTGACTACTTCTGGTTCTCGAAAAGAATATAATCAATGAGGCTGAAATTTTTCCTTCAAATACTTGCAAGTATTATCCAGAGATAGAATCAGCCGCTTTCAATCTTGACTTTCGTATCACATTTATAGGCTTCTAAAGAGCAAAATCTCTAATTTTAGCTCCGAACTTTTACGTATTTTTATCATGAAACAAACCCAGAAAGGTTTACAAAAAGTTCAAAGATTACCAGTAAAACGTAGTGTTAGGTATCTCCAAAAAACTGTTCAGCTCAGCCAGACAAAACTTGATGGAGATCCTCATGAATCAGAATGTGGCTCCATGGTAGGATACTATTGTCCTCGAAAGTGTCTGCTTATTTTAAGCGTTCTATCTGTGATAAAAACTTCAGCCTGATCGATTACAATCTTGTTGAGAAGCAGAAATGGTCTACAAAGACGGTGGGAGGTACCCTTCATTATAATACCATTTCATTTGTCGTCTCTCGAAAACAAAACATTTTAAACACACACATTTATTTGTCATTTGTCAATACGAATCTATATTAGCACACAAATATACAAAAAAAGAAGCGACAACAAAAAGAAAGAAAAAAAAGTGCTCATCTACAATGACATGTTTCGACAATCATATTAGGTAAACGACGGATAAGATAATTATAGTCTGAACTTTTATAAAACATAGTTAAAGAAGAATAACGTTCAGGTACACAACCAGCTTTTGGTAAATTTATATCATTTCTAATACCTAAACGTTGGAGAAAATGTTGAAGAAGTGCATGATTTGTCATTAACTAAGCAATAAGAAAAATATATTAAAAATCACTTTTTCTAGCAAGAATAAATAAACTAACTTTAGTTTGACATGAACCTGAACATAAATTAGCCATAAAATTTTTTGGTTCAATCATCCATGAAGTAAAGCCTAAATCAGAAAAATCAACGACAAAAGGTTTTACTGAACATGTTTCAGGTTCAAGAATTGAAATTGAATCATTCCAATTGGATAAAAATGTATTTGAATCCAATGTTGATTGTTTTTCTTCAATAAAACGTCGCAATCTAAAAATGATTAATACATAAAAACTATATTCTAAAGTTTTTGTTCTTGTTAATAAATAAATAAAAAACCTGTTTCTTTTATTAACTTCTGTTTCAAATTGTTCATAAGATTTGACATCTTGTTCAAAATCTTTTGGTATAAATTCTTCAAAAATATTTGTATGTTTTGAATCATTTGAATAAACAATTAAAAATGGTGTATAAACACTAAATTTTTCTAATTCAATTATATTTCTTCGTTGATTTTTTGTTGTTACTGTTGGTTTAAATGTTATACCAAAATATTCAGATTTTTGCGATAATGTTAAATAATTAATTTGACGTTGAATAACATCACCTATTGGAAATGATTGCCAACCATAGGAATCAGGCTCTAATTGTATTTGAGCAGAAAGTGAAGAAAGTCGATGTGATGAATAAATTTCATTTAAAGAATATGATATTGGCCAACGTGTTCGACGTTTATAAAAATGTAATGAAACAGCATAAATCTTCTCCGTACGACGAATGACATTTAAATCAAAGACGTACATTGTAACATTATCGATTTCAACTAAAATCAAACTTTTCTTTTATCAATATACTCTTTGATTTATTATTGATGAGTTTTCTTATCAATTAACAAAAAACTAAATATTCATTAATAGTGTGAGAAAAGCGATCAGATGATGGTTTTCTTTTCTTTTCTTTTCTTTTCATTTTTTTTAATCTAAATAAAATGTTTTTTCTCTATAGACTTATAAAAGAGATAGTCATTTATCGATTAACTATGTCAGATTTGCAAAATTTTTTGTGACAGATGTCACAATGAACTGGAGTTTGATAAAGAAGATGTGATAAGATCATATTCAGCTTTAATAAAAATTAATCGCTAAGATGATCTTTAACGAAGGACGCACATATAGTTGATTGCTCATATTATATCAAACAATTGATCAAATATAAAATAAATCAAGATGAAGTGCCTTTGATCATTTTTTTTATTCGGTAAGCAAGTTTCAATTGATAAAAAAGTCCAATATGTTATTCTTTCTTTTTTCTTCAATGACCATACTTAAGATGATACTTGACTTAGATGAGTGTGGTCATTTACTTGTATGGAATACATAATTGTTTATCTATATTACTATAACATAGATTACTTCAACTAAACAAAACAGGAGTATCTGTTTTTGTTGTTTAATAGTTCAATGGGAAATGACGAGAAAAAAGAAGAAAGATTATGCGACTATAGGTCAACGAGCAGACAACAATTGATCATTATGTACTACGGAAAAGAAATGATCCGCCTATTCATTACGTCAAATGACAATTAACTCTAAAAAGAAAAAGTGTGTATGATTGACATAACTAAACCAAAGAAAAAAGAATCATTCATTTAGAATCTTTTAATAACAATGCAATGCTTCCTATAACCAATTAGTTTCAATGATTGAATGTATTGTTATAGATTGCATGTTACTTTGAACTGATGACGAAAACTAACGTGTCTCGTCGTCTGGTTTATTTCACGAAGTATATATATCTATCGATTTATTATCATACTCATAGGGGTGTCTAAAAGCACTCAACATTTTTTTTTCTGTTTTAATTCTAATCCAATATGACACACATTTAACTCATAAAATCATCTTACCGATACGTGGTGCAAGAGCTCGTATAAGATTATAATCAGATTTTATATCATTTTGTTTTTCTTGTTCATATAATGTTCTCATATAATCAATTAAAGATGATGAACTTGAATTACTTATTGTATAATATGAATTTTTAAAATGAAATGATGATGTTTTTTTATCACCATTATATTTTAATACATTTGATTTTGATGGAATATCAAGGAGAACAAATAAATGACAAACTTGAAAACAAATTAAAATAATCAAATACTGAATTGTTAACATGATCATATTTTAATATCTTTTAATTACATCTAAAAATCAAAACAGTCAATGTGTTAAAAGAAAATATTTGGTTCAAAATAAAATAGCACGTCTATAATATTTGCTAATGCATTTGATTTAATCGAAAGGAAATTAAAAAAAAGAAGAAAAAATTTTATTTTCATTATGAGAAAGTTGTATTTTAAGCTAAGGATCATCACAGTTTGATGACAATACTTACTCATAAGCTTCTCTACTTTTCAAAAAGATCAATCCATACTTATCAACTTACAAGGTTGAAAGTTTCTTATGTCTACTATTTAAATGTATGTCTTTAATCATGAAGAAAATTTTCTTTTTATTTGTAAAATGGAAACCTGATCAAAACGAACAATTTAAAAATTGATCGAAAACAAATTATTCTCTTGTTGAATACCTACTTCCGTGCTTGTTCATTATACCGGCAAGACGATCAATGAATGAATGAATAAATAAATGAAGAATGCAGTTTTTTCTTCTCTCTTTCTTCTCGCCGTCATTCTCTTCGCTCTCTCTCTCTTCTCTCCTCCCTGTTTCGTCCTCTTTCTTTTTCTTTTTTTTTTTTTGAATGAGCGAACAGAATCGGTTAATAGTCTAATGGCTTTCTTTCACCATTGAATGATGGTGAACAGGCGCATTGATGAAGAAAGATGGTGGGTAGTACTATGAGTCGTGATCAATGGCACGCCTCTACTTCATTTACCTGAACGGTGGGTTGGACTCGCTCATTTTTTCTTCTTTCTCTGTCTATATTGCGTCATTTTTTCTTTTTGATTTGATATTAATGAACAGAAAGAAAAAGCTGATATGACTGGAGACATCAGAAGGACAACGATAGTAACGCTTGCAAGTATAATTCAGGGATATCGAGATAAATGATTTCATAAGGATAGACGAAATGAAGGAAAAAAATGTATTCGACGATTGTCTAAATACTAAAACAATATTAAAGAAGGATATTATAACAATAGATGATTAGACAAGACAATATTGTAATCGAAACTCGAATTATTGGCCTTCGTCATGTCTGTTGAAATGACAAAAAAAACATTTATTGATAGTAAAACAATTCATTTATTTCTTATATAACACTATTGATTTGAAATTGAACTATTTCAGAAGAATCCTTCAAACTATGATAATAAACTTCAATCACAAAATAAATGAAACAAAATGATATATATCAAGGGACATGCAAGAAGCCAATCGGCATCTTTTTTCAATGATTTGTATTATTCGTATACAAAGAATAACACACACACACACACCATGACAAGTTGACGATATTTCAATTTATATCTTGCTTGACAAACTTGTCATATGAACGTTCTGTCGAGCGTATAAAAGCCGGAAAATGAGATTCTTTGTTTTATTTAGTTTGAAATTAAACGAATACAAAACTTATATCACTAAAAAGTAATCAAAAGTTTAGTTTAATATAAGAAAATGCTATACTGATGAATAAGATTCTAAGAAGATTTTTTTGTAGTCTATTTTTTTTATTAGTTGTAAAAATTCTTGACATGCGTTTGTTATAAAACATTAAAAAATCGAAAATTGTATGTAGATGATGCGTTGAAAAGGTCATTTATAAGACTGAACAATTTTTTTGTTTAATAATCACATGATTATCAAAAAAGGACTTTAGTTTATC